TGATATTGGATGCTGACGTACTAAAAGCAGTCCTTGGTGTTTCAACTGAATATAAAACATTTTCTAAGCACAGAGCATAACTTAAAAACAATTAAGTTATTCACTTGCCAACGCACAATGCAAATTTCACTTCTGCCAAAACTAATCAGATGTATCATAAGTGTAACACTGAAAGGAAAACAGATTTAAACTGCTCAAAAACAACTAAGCAGCAAGATCCCAGAGTAAAGTATGTCAAAAGCAGAATCAAGGAAGTCTTGTATGAAAAAGACTGAAATCAGCTATAAGGTAGCACTTCATTTAAATACAACAATATTTTTAAAGGAGCTAAAGCTGTGTTTTCTTGTCATCTTTATTCAAGTATTTCACAGCAGTTATATTACAAATTACAGTAAAATGTTCAAAATTTCCAGAAATTCAAAAAAATTAAATAACTTACTCCAAACTAATGTAAAATGAAGTCAAAATGCAAAACATCAATTTAAACACAGTTCTGAATAAAACTATAGAATCCAAAATATACCATAGGTGATGAAGGAAGTCTACTTAATCCACAAAGTAGACACATGTTAATGAAACCAAACAGGACTCCCCAATGTCTAAACAACCCAATGTACAAGATACAAAAGATGCAAGTACAAGCCCAAATTCAAGCTTATGTTATGATTACAAATAAAATAAAAACAAAATAAATGACTATCAGCTGCAGGACCTGCCATTCAAGAGACTGAAGGTAAAACCAGAGCTGACTACCAACTTAAAAAACAGGGTCGGGGGGAAGACAAGATATTACAAAAAACAGTAATCCTATAAATACATTGGCATATGAGGAAAAATCAAGTAACAATACAGAGGACACAAAACGAAACAAAATAATCACAGGTGAGATTCAAGCTTGCAAATACAATCAACTCCATAGCCATCAACTTCACCCAAGAGCAACTCTATTGTCTCCAACACAGCCCCAACAGCCCCATAGAGAAATCTCCTTTCTTCTGGTTGGCCACACTTTATTGACCCCAGCACAAGGACTCACACAGGAGTTTATTTGCAATTTTCACAACAAGAAACGAGGAAGAGAGGTCAATTTGTACAAACTCTTGCCAGTGCTATATGGCAAAAAATTAAAAACATATAGAGAGTAAACAAGTTTAGACCACATGGATAGATTAACAGCTGCTTTAACTCTATAACCACCAGACCTCTGTAAAGGAAAACAAAACTGAAGTGTGGTTATTTGGGCTAGGAAGGCGGATTTATTATTTTATGTAAGTCGTCCACTATAACATTTGAAATTGGCTACTTTTCTCTAAAACATCACGGTAGCTCCTTAATTAGTAAAGCTGCTTCCTAAGATTTTTTCCAATCAACAACTGACAGTAAAAATTTTTCTTTAGAAACATGACCTTTTAGAACCACTTAATGCTAGGCATTAGCTTCAATTTGTTTTTCAAACTCATTGGTGACTAAAATTATTAACTGTTTTAATTAATATAAATTTATTATCTTCTTAAAAATGTACGCAGTTTTATCTTCCACAAGTGCTGCTGTTACTTGAACAAAAACTTCTTCGAGCAAGTGAAACTGGAATAAATATTTTTAAAAAAATTCTGCAGCAAGAACCTGAGACTTGCAAAAAACCCCTTTTATCAGAAACTTGCTACAAAAAATCTGCTACATTTCATTTAATCAAATCTTAAAGTTTGTAACAATTTCCATCAAAATACAAAATGCTGTTAATGTACCAGACACAAAAATATCTCAAACAGGTATGATATTAATAAATACTAAATGAAACATGGAAAAAAATCCCATAATCAAATCTGAGATCAAAGAATCTCATTTAAAATGTGTTTTCTGCTTGTTTTTGTTGTTTTAATCGCACTTTCCCACCTAAAAAATACAGCGTTTCTGCATGGGTTGCATTTAGAAGGTGTAACTAGATGTACACGAACACCTGAAACCTTTTTCTGTCACTAGCTATAAAGAAAAAAAAGTGGCATTCCGGGGAGAAAAAGATCAAAGGTAGAATTATGTTTAAACACAAAACACAAAGCACTTTGGATTACTGCAATAGGCCAAGGCCCAGGGTTGTTTCTCTGCAGTGGCACACTACTATTAGCCACAGAGGTGGAGACAAGTACCTTAGCTTCAGTTTGTAAATGGGAGCAGAGTGATTACAAGTCCTCCATAAACACTGTTGGTAACTGAAATACAAAAAGCTGAGGTAGCGCAGTATCTCTGCAGTAGTCCAAGACTGTTTTCTCTAATTAAAAACTGATCACACTGTGTTGCATATTTTTGGAAAGACGTTTCCACAGCTACATAGGGACAGTTACAATGAATGGTTAAAGATGGTAACCCCAGCCAACTTTTCTACAACATTTTCCACTTTTTCCCACTCTGAAAAATCAGCCTAGGTAATGTTTCAACATTGAGCTTGCGATAAAACTTTTACTGCAACATGTTTTTTTTTTTTTTTCTTGAAACTGCCTAGACTGTGTTCTCTCCAATTTCCCAAAGGGAAAGATTTGAAACTACACAATTCAGAACCAGAGACCTGTGGTCTGAACAGATCAGTTCAAAAGTCTGTCTTCCAACCCCCCTCACATTAGTAATGCTTTGCATAAACTAGACTTCACAACTCAGTCCAGGTCGTATTTTCAAGTGAGCTTGGGCTCCAGGATTTTGACCAATTATAGCGTCTTCCTACCTGCATTGCACAGTCCAAGCTACATTATAAACACAGAACTTCAGAAAGAAACCTGCCAGTAATAAACTTTTTTTTTTTCCTCCAAAGAACTCAAAATTGACAACAAATCGAGTGATGGGAAAACGCTTCATTTTTAGCAAAACAGAAGAGTTTCACTGTGTAACTTACTTCTAAAACAAATACATACCAATGAAATAAAGGAATTTCACCATTTTGGTAAAGTATGTGGCTTTTTCAGTGTGTCTTAGTTTAGTTCTGTAGAGTAAGATAGGCATTATATAACCATAATACCGGTTGCTATCCAATGAAGAGAATACAAATCATTCTTTCGGAGATCTTCATTCTGAAGACAGCTTTCTAACATTGCCATTTGCTAGAATCCAAACCAACTGATTAGCCTTATCTTTCTCAATCGACTAAAAGGCACATTAAAGGCAGTTCTAGAGAGCCTCATCTTCAAATTACTGTACATCCAGTTACTCAAGATTCCTACCACAATGCATCGCTGCCATCTTTAGAACAGATTTTTTGTCCATTACCCCAGAGAAGAGAAAAATTGAAAAAAAAAAATTTAAAAAGTTGCCTGTTTAAAAATATTCAACTTATATCTGCTCTTTCCAGTTCTCTTGTGTTGGTCTCCACTTTGCCTGAAGTTTCCCAAAAGATAACACATGTAGAGTGAACAAGAGCAGAAATGAGAACAGTTTCTGTAGCACCAAAAATCTCCAAGCTGTGGCATTGTATTCTTTATTTATATCAGATACAACTATATGAAGTTCCGTTTGGTTCTTGTAGGCTGGTTGGTTTCAGGTACCTGAGACAATAGCACCAAATTCAACAGAAAGAAAAAGAGAGAGCACTTAAGACCAAGGCTCTGCACATACTTGGTGCAAATGGAAACTGAATGGCTCAGAGGACTGCTCTCCCACGAGCAGTTTAAGAGAGGATAAACCCACCCATCTTGACGAGTTCACAGGAATGTTTCAAACACATGAACTGTTCTTTCCATCTCCTGCAAGAGACACAGAGCAGCAATTTATATATAAAGACAGAAATAATGTTATGTTAGATCACCATATTTACTCTGATTTTGGGGGGAAATCTGAACAAATAATAATTCATAGGAAAACAGATATTTCTGTTTATTGATTGCCATCTGCTAGCAAAATATGGTAAAAAAAGGAAACTAATTAATACAAGTGTATTAGGTTCACTTTTGTAACTGATTCACTCAGTCTATATTAAGAAAGCATTACAATAACACGTTGCGTGAATTCAAGTCTTCCTGTGCACATTTGCTACGGGTGACCCAGCTGTAAACACATATCTGCACATTTTCAAGAATCAAAGGTAAAGATCAGTCTCTGTGTATGCCTCCTAGATAAAGGTCTTTTAAATTTACCTACATTTGTACAGGCTTTTAAAATTTTCAGCATATTTTATGTGAGGATGGCCAAGAAATAGGATGAAAACGGTTTGAAAAAATAACGTGCAAAATTATTTTGCAAATTTGGAAAATATTAACCCATAGGAAGGCCCTTCCAGGTTCTATATGAAAATATTCAAACAGAAAAATATTTAGTGTCCAGTGGTCCAACTGGAACTAGCAATTTTTATTCCTCTTTCAGCAGAGTTGGTTATCAGCTGGATCAGTAAGCTGATCCAAACCACACTACAGCTAAAACAAAGATGCTGGTGGGAATGCATGTGCAGAGCTATGATCAGCCTAAGCCAGTGGTGAAATGACTCACTCACCACCGATGCAGACAGGAGGCAAAAGTCTTTGAAAAGCAAAGGCTTTAGAGGTAAAGGACGACAGCATTGCAGACAACTGGCTACTTCATCTTATGTAAGACTACCTGTCCTTCCACAGTCCTTGCCAAGATCAATCACGGTATCCTTACCAATATAGAGAAAGTATACACGCCTTTAAGGTCTCATACGAAAGTTACAATCAGGAAATTGCATGAAGCAAAGGTGTATAAACTTTTTTTGCTTAGTTATGCAATGGCAAGTAGGGCAAAATCAGCAGTTGTTGGCCCAGCATGCCTATAAAGTAGCCTTTTTACCTTCAGTGCTATTCATACCACAAATTTGGTAACTTCTGGCTCAGGAATTCAGTTACACACCTCACAAGAATGAAAGGCTGAAATAATCTTGCCACAGTTTGCTGCGGTTCTTAAAGACTAAGTACTTACACCCAAAATGAGTAGCGTGATGCAAGTCAGAAAATCAGAGAAGGGAAGGTACAGAATGATACACTCAGTTACCAGCCATAAAGCCTTTTTGATATCAGTTTTTACAGATTCAAGGTGAGATAGCTACAAATAAGTATGTGTTCAATACTGCAGAAGGAAAACAGAAGTTAAGTGACTCACAGTCACAATAACATTTTGCAGAGACAAGATGACCCCCTGAAAAGGGCTTCTGCTCCATTATCACTTTGCTAGCACATGCTTCTTCGTGCTGTTGTAGTCCTTCCTCTTTTTCCTCCTTTCTTTTAGGTTAAAATCTTAATCCTTTTCTGAGGAAAGCGTTATCAGAAACAACCTCTGTTTACAAAGTCATTAGGTTTTTTCCAAATGTTTGTAAATATTTTTCTCAAAGTCTATTTATAAAGTTTCTGCCTGCTAATAAACCAATAAATCTATCAGTTAACACTGTTCTTGAAAAACAATTCTAACCAGTTCCACAAAATTCAAGAATAAAAGAAACTGTACTACATCACCTCTATAAGTGGTGATTTGTCATAATCTCTACGATGTCTGTAGATGCATTGACTGAGGAGTGAATACAATCTCTCAAGTTGGTCAACAGTCAGGTTGTCGCTTTTCTTAACTACCAAGTCAAGTAGTTTCTGTTGAAAGAACAACATAAAAAAAAACCTCTTAACTTTATGCTAATTGCTTTTTATTATTTTTTAAGGACAAATGAGAAATGTAATCATCTTCTGAAGCCCTATTTTGGAGGGATACATATAAAATGGACTACATTTGGCGATCAGTCAGGCCACTGCTTCCATGTTGATTTAAATTAACTCAGTGTCTCTTTTTGCTTCTCTGCTTACACCTACACATTTTTTCTTGTCTTAGATTTCATGCTAAATAATAAAGATTTTTTTCCTATCACAATACATCTGTTGTTTCCAAAGAGATTATATGCATTTCCCAGCAAGTCAGATCTAAATTTTATAGTAAGACAAGCTAGTTTCTACAATAGATTACAGCAAGCATTGTTGTAACTTTGCTTAAACTGAGATAAAAGAGAAACAAAATTAAGTGGCAACGGATTCAACCTATGACCCCAAAACATCGGCACAGCTTCCAGTTTGCTTTCCAATTCACTAACAGTTCTTCTCAACAAGTACACGTACATGGGAAGAGAGATGATGATGTTAACTGCTAATTACTAGGCACTCAGCAGTTTCTCAGTAACTGTCATGTCCAATTAACACATAACGGTGTCTGCACAAACTACAATTAAAGTAGTGGACTGCTGTGCCATTACTGTATTTGTAAAGATGATAGTAATGAGGGGACAACAAGGATTCAGTAATTTTATTAGCTTTTTTATCCAACACACACTGATCAACAAATCATCTTCAAAAGTTACTGCCGCCAAAATGAAATTTTGCAATCAAAAATAAAAAAAGACAAACTTTGCTTCGTTAAAAAAAATGACTTTTCACGGGGTCTTAACAGATGAATGAATTTTTTTAGTTCTGTTACCTTTAATCTGTCATGGTCAACAACTACAGAGGGTACGGGATCTGATGGTTCCTCTGGGACCTGCTCCAAATTTGTAGCTTTTGACTGTTCCATAGTGACTTTTCGAGTTTTCTTACTTTTGGATATACCTGTAGTTTGAAAAACTATTATCAGCATGTCATCAACAACTAGCAAAAAATCGAAAGTACTAATCAGGTAAAAAAACAAAAAAGCAAACCAAAAAGCACTAGATTAGAACAATCAACCTATGAATTCTTTGAGATTTCTGTTCTGGGTGTTCTGACGTTCTCCAACAACTTCCTACATAAGGAAACTATTTCACAAAAACATCTAAAAAGACTTCCCCAAAACCATTCAACCAGACAATAAAATTGAGAACTGATCTTAACAATTCAACATGACTTGAATCTGTTCATAACTCACTCAGCCATAATTCTGAGACTCATTCTCTCGGGGGCAGTGTCCCTAAGTGTTTTCTATTTCCACTTGTTTCCAGGTAAAGATGTATATTTTGCACCCACAAACATTTGGATGGAATGCTGGTAATGCAGACTGTTAATCAAGCTGCGAAAGCTCTTTGCATGAGAGCAAGTTATTTTCTCAGTTTACTTAAATTAGATACATAATAACAAAAACCATTTATTATTATATTTATATTTATTAAATGCTAATCATTACTTTGCTTGTGACAATTTAAAACAATGACTAATCTTCTATCAGTGAGACCTCTGATATGTAAGAAATGATGCTGAAGACATTTACATATGCTAACACATGCTTACGTCCACTTTAAATCCAATTAGCGCAATTCTCTGTATCTTGGAATCTTTGCAGAAATCAAGTGAAAGATACTACTTAGGTAGATTCAGTCACATACAGCCTCACAAATAAGAAAATCCAAACATCCGGAGACTGAGAACTTCCCAGGGACTCCTAGGGAACTGCATTAAAGGATCTGTATTTATTTTCTATGAAAAGCTTTTACAGCTCTCGGGCAGATTTTCAACTGAGCTGCTCTCACTGTAGGTCCCCATATCCCTTCACAGTCCACCTCTGTTGGTCAGTTCATTTACTGCCATCTAAACTCGCAGACTGAGAGAACAAATTTCCATAGTAACTACACCTAACACAGAATCACCATTCCTCTCCTACTAAAATTGCCAGGTGGCACTAGCATTTAAAAATAGCATAAAAAAAAAACACTATGTCGCACCGTTCAACTCTTTCAGAAACTAAACTTCACGTTATTTTCCTCAAGGGACTTGAAGACTTATACAAGCATCTGTGTCTCACGTACAAATACAAAACTACTCCATGAACACACCCGTCACCTGACTGGAACGAAAATCTGTAACTTTTCTTCTCTCTGTAAACTCATGGCAA